CCAGGGCGCGGCGCGCCTCCAGGAGTGCGGCGCGCAGCGCCGCGGCCTCCTCGGCGCCGCGGCCGCCGTCGGCCGCTGCTGGCGGGGCGCCCCCTCGCGCGGCGCCCGGCGGGCGCGGCGAGCGGCGCTCGGGTGCGGGGCCGCCGGAGCCATCTGTTCCGTGCTCGAGCGGGACCACGGGGATGTGGTTTCTGCAGGATGTGGTTGCAGCTGAATCCTGTGTGGCGCGAGCCGCACGAAAAATGCACTGTCAGCATCGCAGTCGAGCAAGTGGGGAAGGTGCAGGTGGTCGGCGCAGCCAAGCTGCTTCGGCGCCTGAGGTGGTAGGACCGACATGCGGCGGCCATTCAATGGTTATTCCATGTACCTGCATCTTCCGGTAGGCCCCTGTCGACCCATCCTCCTTGTCGACCCATCCAAAACCTGCGACACTGCCTTCCTCAGCCATATGTTCAAGTAAATTCACTTAATCAAGATCCCCATGATTTTGAATGACGCTGCGATCACACCGTGTTGCTGTGCGAAGGACACGGTAGTTGTGAATGCAGCTTCCCCTGAAACCCCTGACGGCAGCTCTTCCCATGGGGACGACCAGGTCGTCAGCAAACACGAGGCACGAGTAAGCACTACAGTTCGAGCTTCGTGCTGCCGCCCCTGCAGCCAAGTGCCGGGCGCCACGACCAACATTACTCGCGGGCGTTGCAGCTGTCGCATCAATCGGACCACGGCCATGTCGCCGCTGCTGCAGTCTCAAGGCGGCGTAAACATGCAGGATAACGCCGCCTTGGAATGACCATCCAGTGCTTTGCGTCCTCCAGACCCCCGCTCGCACGCGTGCAGGAGGCAGCGGCTTTATTCAACAGGGCCACCCAGCGCAGCCCCGCATCAGCATGGAGGGGAAGTACTGGTGCACCTCCACATGTGACAACCCTGCCCCCCCTCTCCCAGAGCAGCACGCAAAGCCCCCCCGTTGCCGCTTCCTTGTAGCAGCGCGCGTGCATTGAGATATCTGCAAGCTTGGCCGTCGTCCCCGGCGTCTTTGCACAGCCCCGCCCAGACACGCCCGCCGGCCACCCGACAGGGGGGTTCCGCAGGGAAATAGGCAGGTGCGCACGCCTGGCGCGGGGTGCGTCGCACACGTGTGATTTTGGGCAGCATTCATGCTCTCGCGCGTCTCAAGGCCACGGGTTGATCCCGCGGCCTTGTGCGTGCACGCGGCTCGGCAGCAGGCCGCGGGCCGCACTCTCGCATCACGCGGACGGCCGTGGGCGCGCCCGCCGACGCGGGGGTGCGGCCCGCATCACCTTGGGGCTTGGAACTGCAGCGCTGCCTGCGGCCGCGCGGGAGTCCTCATGGCGGCATCACCTGGGGGGGTGAGGCCTGCTCTGGGCGGCGTCCGGACCGTGGGAGTTCTGCACAGGCGGGCAGCTGCTCGTCCGAGGCGACTAAAGTGACAAGTTACACCTCAAGAGAGTCGTACACGTGCCCCGGTCCTGAAGCAAGCCGGCCAAGGGTGCGATACTTGCAATGGGGAAAGTGTGACGGAGGCCGGCGACGGCCGCCGCCGCGGCGGTTGGGGG